TATATATATATATATATATATATATATATATACATATATAACATTTCTGTCCCCCTCACTTCTGAAATGATGGCTACGCCCCTGATTGATATGTTTCATTATCGTTATAGTTACAGTGTGGACTTCACTATTCTCAAAGAATTAGAATGATTAAAACTTTATAATAGATTATCGTTATAGTTATCAGGGCAGACAACAACTGCAACGTGCTCTTATAATAAACGGGAAAAAATTGCATTCTGTGTGAACGGCCCCTAAGCAGATTTTAGAAAAGACTAAAATGTGGCATAACAGGATTGAATAAACACTCAAATTTCAACTATGTCAGCTGTACCATATTAAATTAAATTAAATTAATGACCATTACTAATAACAACTACACTGTAATATACTCTAAACTGTTGTGTAACGGTGGAACTAAACTTGGTGGAAATGTAAATGCTGTAAAGTAAGATTAAGTAAATGTGAAGTAACAGGGTTGAAGACACTAAAATTTCTATTTGTTCAGTTGTACATATTTTCTGATTTCAAAATGCGTTATTAAAACAAACACTATAATATTCTATATTGAGTAACAGGATGGAACTTAACAGTGAAAATGCTTTAGAAATATATGATGAAATGTGGTGTAACAGGGCTGAATACTAAAATGTATACTCCGTCAGTTGTACATATCTGATTATAAATTGAGGACCATTATTAAAAGCAACTACTCTGTAATATATTCTACCCTGTCATGTAACAGGGTGGATCCTAACATGGTGGAAATGTACGTAATGTAAAGTAAAATAAGCTGATTTTAAATTAAATCATAAAAAGTGAAATAAGGGTTGAAGAAACATTAAAATTTCTTCTTCGACAGCTGTACATATTCCTTGAATACAAATTAATGACTGTCATTAAAAACAACTACATAATATACACTGTTGTAAGACAGGATGGAACCTGCGGTGGAAATGTAAATGATGTGAAGTAAGATTAAGCAGAGTTTAGATATAAATTACGAAATGTAGAATAACAGGGTTGAAGCAAGACTTAAATTTGTACTTTGACATTTGGACATGTTCCTTGAATACAAATAAATGACTTTTAAAATCAACTACATTGTAATATACACTATTGTGTAACAGGATGAAAACATAACATGGTAGAAATGTAAATGCTTTTTGGAAATAATGAAATGTGACAGAGTTGAATACTCAAGATTTCTACTTTATTCCCTGATTACAATTACTGTCGTTAAAAACAACCGCACTGTAATATATTTTAGTGTTGCGTAACAGGATGCAACCTAACATGGTGGAAATGTAAATGATGCAAAGTAAGATTAAGCAGATTTTAGATATAAATTATGAAATGTGGAATAACAGGGTTGAAAAAAAAACAACCACACTGTAATATATTTTAGATATTTAGTGTTGTGTAACAGGGTTGAACATAACATGGTGGAAATGAAGATGTTGTAAAATAAATAGTCGTAGTTCTGTGATGCGTCAGGGTTAACGGCTGATCTAATCTTGACGTTAATTGCACTACCTAACACTTTGACATTTTACTGACATCCCATTAAATTCAGACTAACGGTGGAAATTTGTGTGAGACAAAGTACATATTAACAGGGTGGAAAGCAGTACTAGGGATACACATGTGTCCTCTGACAACAGTGATTATAATGTATTAAATATGTATATTATTTTGTGTACATATAAGCTATATGTAAACTTAAAATGAGTAGTTTTAGTGTATAACATGATATTTTTCTCATTGACAAATACATAATTTGTGAAAACACAGACTACCTGACGCCAAGAATAAGTGAAGCTTCTCTCCTGGTCATCTTTGGTTCAAAACCACCTCTGTAGTATCCGCTACCAAATGCCTGTCGCACACATGTAAATTGCGTTTGTTAAAATAAAATTGTATGAGTTTATTAAGATAAAGTATGGATTATATTAGAAGAAGAATATAACTTGCAGATTTGGATGCCTCCAGAGCGTGTTTCACTTGCGGCTCCATATGTTTCATGGCTTGCATTGCATAGCGACCTGTAAAAAATGGGCCATTAGAAAACAATCAGGCTTAATTAATCAACAGATGTGAAATGTATCATGTTCCTGTGCAGATTTCTCATAATGTGCTGGAACTGTACCTGCAAACCCTGCTGCTGCCAGGGTAAGGCCCACGGCCACCATGGTACTAGCCTAAAATACATTAAACAATAACCCTTGATTGTGCGATTTGCATTAATTGAGAGGCAATTTGCATTATTTAATACAACCACACACCAGAACACATCGCTTATATACAGACTATTTCTCATCACATGTATCATAATCATATCCCACAGTAGCACACAATATTAACCCATATACAGATTGCACAAGTTTCACTTGAAGCTTTATGTTTTATAGTGTGAAAATGACATATACTATGTTTAATAAACACACTTTGAATGTATTTATATGTCAAATGGCAAATATCTATAAACATGAATTATTTGCTCAGGTTGTCAATCTATAACAGCACTGAATGTCACTATCAGTTAGCAGCGATGTGCTAATGCTAGCTCTCTTTTGCTTTTAATTTGCTTAATAAAAGCATCAAAAATCGCGTCACATTGGATTACAGTGAAAGAGGAAACACTTACCATTTTCTCTGCTAAGATCCTGTGTTGTGATCGTCTATAATCATAACTTTATTCATAACTGACTGCTAAATGTCATGCTCATGTGTTGTTGTTTTGGTGACTTCTGAACTTCAGAGAGAGAGCGACCTGCCGCAAAACGAGCCAGCACGTCGCGAAGCCCGAACTGACGTCGTAAATCGTCAGGCGCAAAGGCAAGTCACAAGTTTTTTGTAGAGCTCCTTGGTCTCGTGCTGTGCTGAAATGTAAGGTAACCATAGTAACAGTGACTGTCTGATGCTATTTATGAATGAAAAGCTGAGTTTGAAAACGGAAACCTATTTGTATAGAAACATATCATGTGTAGACTAAACATCGACAAAATCTATTAACATCATCATAAACATATTTCATGGATAGAGGACCACGTTATGAATGAGTGCCATATTCAAATGGTCATATTTCCCCACAAATCAATATGAGAGTATATAAAAGACGTGATATATTATATTTTCGAGACAATTTCTCAGCTGTGTCAAAGTCCCGGTACTGTTATGCAAACATCTCATTCTCATGATGCACATAGTTAGGCAGTATCTATTTACACTGATGCACATAGCCAAACTTGTCAAAGCTCAAAATAAATACATATATAATACATAAGTAAGTAAATAAATAAATGAATTTAATTTAATAGTTTTTTCAGTGTAAAGTATTTATACATCATGGTAAAGTTTGTTGTACTTCCTGTAACTTACATGGGTTTATTTATTTGTTATTGTAGTATAGTAATTTTAGTAACGTAATATAGACATTACAGTGTCGTCCATGAAAAAAAAAATACTGACAATAATGGGAATAAAAATATTTTTTAAAAACTATCATCTCATAATTCAGACTTTATCATAATTGTTTATGTCATAATTTTGACTTTTTGTTATAATTATGACTTTTCATCTCACAATTTAGACCTTTTATCTCATAATTATGAGTTAGTATGTCATAGTTTTGACTTATGTCATTATTGTTTTTGTTGTCATAATTTTGACTTTTGCCATAATTGGCATAATGTGTCTTAATTGCATGACTTAGTTTGTCATTATTTTGACATATTTCCTCATAATCTTGACTCATAATTTTGATTTTTAATCTCACAATTATGACCCTTTATGTAATAATTATGATTTAGCAAACCATAATAAATAGTCTTCGTTTTATTTATGTAAAATTGACATTATTTGCTTTGTATTGTGACTTAGTATCTCATAATTTTTTTTGTTGTCATAATTTTGACTTTTGCCATAATTGGCATAATGTGTCTTAATTGCCACTTTTTTATCTCATAGTCATGGCTCATAATTTCAACCTTTTATGTCTTAATTGACTTAGCATCTCATAATTTTGACTTTATCTCATCATTTTGATTTATGTCATAGTTTTGACTTTTTATCATAATAGACCACTTTCCTGTGACCAATGTGTTTATAAAGTCATAGACAATTTCATCTTAAGTCAAGTCATAATTTTGACTTTTTTATCTCATAATTTCGATTTAGGTCATAATTTAGATTTTTGTAAAAAAAATCATAATTATGATTTGGTTCTTATCTCATAATCATGACTCATATTTTTTAAGATTTATGTCATAATTATGACATAGTATCTAATAATTTTGACTTTTTAATCTCATAATTCTGAATCTGATTTATGTCATAATTGCTGTTGTTGACGTCATAATTTTGACTTTTTGCCATATTTATGGATTAATATGTCATAATGTTCACTTTTTATCTCATAATCATGGCTCATAATTTCAACCTTTTATGTCTTAATTGACTTAGCATCTCATCATTTGGACTTTTTATCTCATAATTTCTATTTAGTTAATAATTTTGATTTTTTTTTAAATCATAATTATGACTTGGTATGTCACAATATTAACCTTTTCTTATCTAAAAATCATGACTCATTTTCGACGATTTATATCATAATTATGACTTAGTATCTCATAATTTTGACTTTTTAATCTCATAATTCTTACTTCGATTTATGTCATAATTGTTTTTGTTGTCATAATTTTGACTTTTTTTTGCCATATTTATGGATTAGTGTCTCATAATGTTCACTTTTTATCTCATAGTCATGGCTCATAATTTCAACCTTTTATGTCTTAATTGACTTAGCATCTCATCATTTGGACTTTTTATCTCATAATTTCTATTTAGTTAATAATTTTGATTTTTTTTTAAATCATAATTATGACTTGGTATGTCACAATATTAACCTTTTCTTATCTAAAAATCATGACTCATTTTCGACGATTTATATCATAATTATGACTTAGTATCTCATAATTTTGACTTTTTAATCTCATAATTCTTACTTCGATTTATGTCATAATTGTTTTTGTTGTCATAATTTTGACTTTTTTTTGCCATATTTATGGATTAGTGTCTCATAATGTTCACTTTTTATCTCATAGTCATGGCTCATAATTTCAACCTTTTATGTCTTAATTGACTTAGCATCTCATAATTTTGACTTTATCTCATAATTTTGA